CGCTCAAGACAGAATTTCCAAAGTCTGATTTGGGCAGAATTCATCACTTTCTCGGGATAAAAGCTACGCACAACACCAATAGACTATTTTTAAATCAAGCCGCTTATGCAACATAGATACTCAAACGTGCGGGAATGATGGAGTGTAAGCCGTGTGCAACACCAGTTGATCTCAAATCCAAGCTGTCAGCTAGTTCCGGTGACCCTGTCACAAACGTCACTGAATACAGAAGTCTTGCTGGAGCTTTGCAATATTTAACTTTCACACGGTCGAAAATCTCTTATGCGGTTCATCAAATCTGCTTGTATATGCACGATCCATGTCAGCCACATCTACAGGCACTCCGGCGAATAATTCGATACATCAAAGGCACGTTATCACATGGACTGCAACTGCTCAAAGGTCCGATTGACTCTCTCACAGCATATTCTGACGCCGACTGGGCTGGCTGTCCCGACACAAGGCGCTCTACATCTGGATATTGTGTCTTCATGGGTCCAAACTTAATATCATGGTCTGCAAAACGACAACCTACTGTCTCAAGATCGAGCTCAGAAGCTGAATATAAAGGCGTTGCAAACACGGTGGCTGAATTGTGTTGGATTCGCAACCTGATGCTAGAACTTCACTGTCCCATTACAAAGGCATCTGTCGTATATTGTGACAATATCAGCTCTGTCTATCTCGCTACAAATCCAGTCAAACACCAGAGGACCAAGCACATTGAATTAGACATACACTTTGTTCGAGAGAAAGTTGCAATCGGCAAAGTAAGGGTAATTCATGTGCCTTCGTCACTTCAATATGCCGACATTTTCACAAAGGGGTTACCTATGTCACTTTTCAACGAATTTCGTTCCAGTTTAACCGTCAGGAATCCGGACGCTTCAACTGAGGGAGGGTGATTGAATATAAGAATATTCGGTTTATATTATGTAGATTTACTCTGTTACAACCAACGATGTAATCCCGGATTTTGTGTTAACCACCATGGCTTTATATAGCCTCGTAAATACAATGAACCCGACAGGGGAATTCATCAACTTTCATGTATGTTGAGCATGCAGGTTGTCGAGCTTGGAAGCCAGGTCTTGAGTGAATGGTAACAGGGTAACCTGAATCGCTGCAGCGAGATCAGCAGCTAGGATGGGAGCTGATGATGCTCCCGTGGGTGGGATCGTGATGTTGGTTGTGATGGCGCTGCCGTGCTCATCGAGGGCTGGATTTCCGCGCTCCTCATGGGCTGTATTCTCCAAGGTATTGATCGTTATTGCTGGGAAGACTCATAGTCTTAGCATTGTACTGCTAGTCTAAGAATTTATTCTCCTAGTCCCCATAGACGGTGCCAATTGTTGAACCAGAATATCACCTATATTAATAAGCAATAGACATTTATGGGTTTTGGAAAATAGATCTTTATTAGAAACTCAAAGGCGTAGACGATTATAAAGATGGCACGACCTAGAGGTCTTGCCGAAGTGAATAAAAGCCTTTTAAAGTAATCAACTAGAAAGCTTAGAACTCTAAGGTCTTGTTCTTCTGTTCTCTAGAGATTTCGGATTGGTCTTCACGCTTTCCAAGGTCTTCTAATTATAAGATCAGGAGGTTGGTTGCAGCGAACTTCCTTTGCTTTAATTTTTTGGGATAATTTTCATATTTCAAATATGGAAATATCATTTTCCCTGATTATATGGACATTTTCTATAGCATCGAATCCTTTAACTTATTAAGTCGGTGTGATTCTCCTTGTCTCGATGAGTTTATGTTATTGCTAAAAAAAGTCTTCTAAGAATTATGCTCTTTTTCTTTTTAACAGTCGATTAAGCTTGTAACACTGTAACTACATCTGATTATTTTGAAAGATGCAAAAAATTTTAAAAAATGTTTTGAAAAAGATGCAGAGAATCTGACGATGCGTACTCTTAGTTTCTTTGGCAAGCAAGAGGAAGTAGTAAATCCCAGGTCATTTACTTCTTTTTTTACATCAAAGAAAAAGGTTTCATAGATTCGAACATTACAAGAAAACAATGATCTTTCATGGTTTCCTGATTTATCGATCGGAATTTTTTTTATATCCCTACAAGACATAAGCCAATTTCTCACGCTGTTTTCCGAGTGAAATTCGTTAGAATGAGTTGTTTCTGACGGATTTTTGACAACAATTGTCAGTAAATTACAGTTGGATCATTAGTATTCTGTTGCAAAATCTTGACAATTTTCTGACCACATGTGTTTATTGGAAATCCATTGAAATTTTTTGTCGACATTGTATTTGGTAAAGGAAATTGGAAAGTCATCAGAATTCTGTTGGATAAGTTTCCAACGACCTTTTAACGGATGAAATTTCGACGGATTTTTGATGAACCATTTTCTAATAGAACTGAATATATATTTTTTAAAATAAAAATATTATTTAAAAGAAAATTTAGAAAACATGAAAAATGTTTTAAATTAACAATAAAATAATTTTTAAAAACAAAATAAAAGAACTACTTAAACAAATCTAAAAGTGAGGCTTGTATGATTTCTTTCATCTAACGTAGCTTTTCACTAGTTGATTGGTGTGCCGTCACCAATTTTTTGACCTTGGCATCACGATCTCTTACGACTTGGATAAACCTTTTGATCTCGGCGTGATAATGTTGTAGAGTGTAATAATAGTCCGAAGTAGAAGAAAAAGCTCCTTCGAAACCTAGTAGTTCACGTAACCCTACAGTTCGGCTTTTTACTTACTGATTTTCCAACAAAATTAAAAATATATATAATTGAAACTGTTAATTATACGGCAATCATACAGATATCGTTGCACACATATATCACCTAATACGGTAATTCAAGACCATAAACAAGTTTCTGTATCGCATGGTGTTATGGTGGTGAAAGATTATCTTCAGCAACATATCTTTCAAAAGATTAACTATTGCATCCACACACTCCTCACCCAAATTGAAATCTGTCTTTATACCCATCATCCTAGTTGTAGCTGATAAAAGATAATGTTCTTTTCTACAACCATCATATAATGGATTTTTAGCAGCATCTAATATAACAAAGAACCTCCAAACTTCAAATTTAGGTTCCTCTATCTCCATACTGAGCAACCGATGATATATTTTCACAAAATGCATCATTCACCATCTTAACATGTCCTACAGTTTCTACTTGATCTATTACAGGTTCTTCTAAGCTATTCTCAACATATTTTCAGTAATACTAGCATAATCCACCATTGTATTTTTTTTTACGATAATACCAAATCTTGTAACCCACCATAAATCTATTACAATACAAATGTGATCGTACTTCGCTTATTAAGATAAATCTATGGTTCCAGCAATTAGTTCAAGGACAATAAATTTTACCAAATTTTTTTTTGCTTTCGATTGCATAGTCTCAAATTCCATGAATGGTTACAGATCTTCTTTGTACTTTTCAGTATTCAGGCTCATCGCGAGAATTTGACGAGGTTTGTCCATATATGATCGAAAATAATTATAAAGATCTGAAGAAGAATTTGACGAGGTTTGTCCATCTATGATCAAAACTAATTATAAAGATCTGAAGAAGACATTTTAAAAGATTTTAGATGATATGAGTTTTTGTTTTGTTTTGCTGTTGAAGTGAATGAAAGAGGATAGTGGTGTTTATAAAAAAACCGAACACGCATTTCTGATAGAATTCCCACGGATTCGCATGGATCTCTGACAATGTTTAAATGGCTAATTAACGATTATAAGTTTTCAAATGGCTACAAAATCCGTCGAAACTCTGATGGAAATCAGCACCGGACTCATTCCGTTAGAAATCCATGGGAAGATTCCAACAGCGTTCCCACAGATTTTCACATATCTCTACTAATGTGTAAATGACTAATTAACAATTATAATTTTTTAAACTAACTACAAAATTGGTCAGAAATCTATCGGAATCTTCCCACAGATTTATTGCATAAGATCCAATGAAATTTATGACGAATTTCCAATGGATATTCTGCTGTCAAAAATTTCTTACAAATCAGTTAAAATGTCCAACAAAATATGGTCAGTGAGATATTCTGTCAAAAATAACCCTATTTTCTTGTAATGTATATATATATGTCATTGTTTAGTTATTCAACTTGTTAACGTAATTTTCGTTTAGTATTTGTACGTCTCTGATTTGCTCTGTTTAGAAGTTAAATAGACATTTTGTCTGCAACATTCATAAAAAAGACCTAAGCATGGAAACTTTGGCTCTACGTGGAGGACTTGGCACGGTGCGGCTTTTCCACTCGTTGTGTAATAGTTATGACATATGAGAGTTGACTCTCTACGAATGTTGCAATGGTTATTTTGTATTTTGAAGGAAGCTGGTTTCTTAAAATTATCAGAGAAGTAATGCAATTTTTACTTTTCCAACCATTTATGAAGACAGAATTACGAAGAACTTATCTTATATAAAGGTTGATGTCCTAAATTTAGTAATTAACAAACACATTTTCGTTAGTCTTCGACTTTAAATGTGTAATTGTTTTTCCCCAATTAGATAAAATAACGCATGCACGTCGACAAAAAAGGTACAATGCGTCAATGCCCAGTCTTGTCTTGAAACGTAGATAATATAACTCAAGAACGGCACTAACCCAAACCACTATTCTACATGTTACAATCGATTAATTCAATAAATTATATATGTGAAAAGGAATTATTCAAGACAAGACTGGGCATTGACGCATTGTACCTTTTTTGTCGACGTTCTTGAGTTATTATTTACGATACTATGTATGTTCAAGTTCGTATGATATTAACTAAATAAAATTTCAATTTCATTGATTTTTCAAGCTTGAAATATTAACCAAATGTGCGATGGCTAGTGGTTAGTGGAAGTAGAAGTTATTGATTCCTTTGCACTCTAGGTTATATTCTTTTTTTAGATGGATGATTTACACCATGTTTTGGTATTATCACAAACCCAATTCCAGCTGATGGAGATGTACGGATTTCAGCTCAGAACTTCACAGTTGTAAAAAAAAAAAAAAATCTGAAATGTTAGTATAAAGGCGTCCATATATCATCATAGTTCTCATTAAATACTGAATTATCAAACAAGAAAAAGAAGAGTGAAAAGGAAAGAGATATCGAATATGTCTACTACTCCACAATGGATCATGATTGGTGGAGAAGGTCCCGAGAGTTACAACAAAAATTCCTCGTATCAGGTTTATATTTAAAATGATTTTGAATCCTACTAGAGTATGAAATCTGATATGTATTATGAAATAATAATCTCCTCTTTAATTTGGTTTTTACAGAGAAGGTTGTTGGAAGCCGCCAAAGAAAAGATGAGCGAGGCAATCACAGCCAAACTCAGCCTCGACTTGATCTCTGATCGCTTCGGTGTAGCTGATTTCGGCTGTGCGAGTGGTCCTAACACTTTTGTGGCAGTCCAAAACATAATAGATGCAGTAGAAGACAAGTACCGCAAAGAAACTGGACTAAACCCGGCTGATAACATCGAGTTCCAAGTCCTCTTCAACGACTTTACCACCAACGATTTCAACACTCTCTTCCAGTCACTTCCTCCGGGCAGAAGATATTATAGCTCCGGAGTTCCGGGTTCTTTCTATAACCGTGTTCTTCCTAAGGAAAGTTTCCACATAGGAGTCATTAATTACGCATTGAATTTCACCTCCAAAGTCCCTGAAGGGATCACGGATCGTGACTCTCCCCTATGGAACAAAGATATTCATTGTACTGGCTTCAACCAAGCGGTCAAGAAAGCGTATCTTGATCAGTACTTGTCTGACATCAAGAACCTATTGGATGCTAGAGCTGAAGAGCTAGTCCCCGGGGGGTTGATGTTGCTTTTCGGATCGTGTCTACAAGACGGAGTTAAGATGTCCGAGACCTTTATGGGAATAGTGTTGGATATTGTTGGAGCTTCTCTTAATGATCTTGCTCAACTGGTACATACAAATTGGGATGTTAACTATTTAAACCAACGCGGATTTTTACACAACTAACATTATATATTTCTTGATTAAAAGGGTCTAATCGATCAAAAAGAGGTGGACTCTTTTACCACCCCACTGTACTTCGCAGAAGAAGGCGAGTTGAGGCAAATCATAGAGGAGAACGGGAAGTACACGGTTGAGGCTTTCGAAGATATTATTCAACCAAATGGGGAGTTTCCTTATCTAGATCCCAAGATCTTGGCCGACTCTTTTAAAGCCATCTTTGGAGCATTCTTGTCCGCACATTTTGGAATTGATGCAATGAGGAAAGTCTTTGAACTCGTGGAGGTCAAGGCACGAGAAGAATTTTCTCACATCAGGAAAGCCAATCTTGGAATGCAGTATCTCATCGTGCTTCGCAAGAACTGATGATTCTGAATATATTATTATATATATGATTTTTCAATATTGATTTGTGTTTTTATTGTTGTAATTCTCTTCTTTCGTCTCATGGTGTGTTATTTTTCTTCTTCTTCCTATCGTTGTTGTATTTGTGCGTTTGCATTCTCCCATATCCAACAAATTAATAAATGCATAGTTTCAGTTTGAAGATACTTTTATCCAACGAAAAGTTGCCAAATTTCATTCTAAGGTGCAACTAACACAAGCCAACCCCAAAAAATGCTCCATCTATAGGGTTGGAAGAAAAACTAAACCAAACCAAAGCATAGCAGTGTGTACAGAAGCAGAAGAGGCAACCAAATACATTTCAGTGATTTCTGGAGGTAAGAGTGTAGAGAAAAACACCAAATAGTGCTTAGCGTAAGACTGTATTATCCGAGAGACTTGAAAAAAAACAAAAATCTTCTAAGTATGAATAAAAGATTATAAAGAACACTCTTTCTTTTTTTTATTCAACTTCTCATATTTACAAATGATAGAAGAATGGGCTATTTATAGGCTCCACTTGTTACAAAAATAACTTACATCAATTTTTCTAATCTCTATAATTCTTTACAATAATATCTAGATTTTTATCCACAATATCTAAAATTATCTATACAAATATCTGGATATTTAACTAATAGATTTCTCTAAAATTTGAGCTTAATTTTGTGTTTACTCCAATAAATAATAATTATTAAATAAATCCAAGTTTAAGCTTTACCCAAAATCAAATTTAACTTCAATAAAAAATTAGTTTTCAACGTCACTTTGCAACGTTAGTAAAATTATCTATTCAGCTCAGCTGTGAAAACTTTTTTGACGCATTTGAACAGTGTTTCAAATCCGCTGTCAATAATATCCGAAGATCAATCATTTAATTGTCTTTGCGTTTTATTATATTATTTTAAAAGAATGCTTAATTTCCTCTTCTAATTGTAACTAATCAGTTTTTATTAATGGAATCACATGTTGAAAAAAAAAATACTATTGTTGGGATTCATTTTACTAGATCGAAAGAGAGCTCAACACGTGGATCTAGCCTGCACCGGATGCTGACACATGCCATGTTAGTTCGGCCAACCCATTCATTCGCACTGTATCAGGGCAGTTAGTAGATTTCTCTAAATACGCCAAAATCATTACTCCCACCTATTCCCCGGACGCGCCGCTTGGAAAGGACAGGACGAAGGGACAGCAAGTATAAATAAGAGGCAAACCCTTCGAGAGCAAAATGGCAAAAGGGCAGAACGGTAGAGAGAGAGAGGAGAAAAGGAGAAAGAGAGGGCATCGGCTGACATCTAGTAGTCGCTCCGGCCATACAGCAGGATCACAGGTGAACTTCATGTTCTTCCCGGGTGAATGCCGACCAGGTTAAGTCATTCATAACTTGGAACCTCGCCTTTGTATCCGCTTCGTTTTCCCTTCGATAAGTAGGAACCCTTTTAAAACACCTGAACGCAGATAAAAACATCGATCCCTGGCGAGACTTTTCACAATTAACCCGTAGAAAACTTCCCTCTCGAGTACCTGTTCCCGGTACGATGTCCACTAACTTGGGCGTCGGAGATTCTTCGCGAGGGAAATCCCCTTTCGGTCCTCCCGAAGGTTCGCCTGGCGTTTGCTTAAATGTTAACAAGACCGAGCACGGCGTTCATCCCATCACCCCATGACAAGAAGCTTTCGCCCCGGAATGACGACTCGTCGTCTTTCCCCCGAGAGGACGAAACTCGGAGGCTCAGCTCCAACCCCAACAAGTCATACATTCCCACGTGGCATCCTAAATTTGCTCTCGAACAGTTGGCGTTAGAAGGAGGGGGGATCACCGGCGAACGTTTCAAGAGGGAAGCGAAGCGCTCAAAGTTAGCTGCGCAAAGTATGCTGGTCGAGCAAGCTACGGTTCTGCTAAACCGTCTCGAGGCTTCGGGACCATTACGCGTATTGGCCCCAAAACCGAGACTCCAGATCCGCAAAGCAGAACGCAAAAAGACTTTCAAGAGACAAAGATATGTGAACTAAAACGAGCTGCACTTTTAAAAAAAACTGGTCAAAAGCAGCCACCAGTTCAAGTTCGAAGTTGAAATTTACATAGGGAATGAGTCCCCGAAATAAAAAGATAATTTTAAAACCCGGCAGACGCGAATGTCCTGCCGGCGAAGAAGGGTCCACGCCTCCAGCGCCACCAGCCGCCCCCGAAGTGTCTGGCCCCCACGGCCTGTTATGTCGCCTTTCCTCCTCGAGCTCCCACCAAAGCATGCACATCGTGGTTTGGCTCGTCGAGAAAGCCTCAGCCGCCATCCGCACCACATCCACCTCGGCCTGCGGAGCGAATCCTCAGTACACCATGAGGGTTTGGCGGAGCGTTTCCACTTCTAAATTGCAGGCTTCCAGATCCCACTGACTTTTTGTGATTGCCAAGGACATGTGTTCCATCTGCATGCTAAGATCCTCACTCCGGGCAGAAGTCTGGACTTCGGCGAGTTAATCCCGGGTCACCAAGATTTCGGCTTGAAGCTCACTGGCCCTATCAGCAAGACCGTGCTCGCGATGTTCGGCCGTGTGGAGCTCGGCTCCAACTTCTCGAGCGAGCGCTGGCTCTGTCAGAAGACGAAAAGAAACCAGTGAGACAAAGGTGAAAAATCTGAAAAGCAAAGGAAGACATCCAGAGAAAAAAACTTACCACGTCCAGCGACTGGGAAAGCTCTGAGGCGGTCAACCGCCAACCGGTGAGCCCGCGGGTCGAGCGAGCGGTTGGACGAGGAGACATGAACATCGGCTCCGACTCCAAAAGGGTGCTCATCGCCTTCGGCGACCCCGGGGCAGCAGAGACCGGAGTAGCGGCTCGTGCGGCTCTGGACCTTTCAACAGTCCCCAAGTACTCCGGAACGTCGGAATCTCCAAAAGCCCACCGCTGGCAGTTAAGGCCGACTCAGAAGAGTAGTGAGCGGGAAGGGCAGAAGAAGGACCCGGGGACCAAGCCGCCCTCACCACGGGAGACCCAGTGAGGTGCCGTCAGCACGAAGGCCGAGACGAGGCTTTCCCCTTGAGAGAGTTGGCTCGAGGCCTCCAGCGCAGCGTTTGGACAGCCGTCCTTTGGGCGGCCCGTAGAAACCTCGCTGGGGCAGGCGGCCGTCGAGAGCGTAGAGGTTCCAGATCTCCTCGATCCGATTCTGAGAACCTGCAAAGGTAGGATCTGCGGGTGAGAATCGAGAAACCACCAGCGCAGGACCAAGGGCAGAAGGATCAGAATCACTACCTGAGACGTCTGGGGCCAAACCGGACGGGAGGACGAGCGAACTCGCCCCGATGCTCGGTAGAGAGAGCAGGAAGTCGAACGACCGGAATCGTTCAGGTATCCTGAGCAGGCGGTGCAGATCGACTCGCTCTGAGGCCGCCAACGTCGCGGAGCCTGAAAAAAGAAAACCAAGACAGTGATGAGAGGATGGACGGCGGGCAAAACTCGAAAGAAAAGGGTAGCAGTAGTAAAAGAATCATACCCCTCGGCATCCAGGTGATCTGGACATTGACCTCCAGCGGCACCGCCTAGAAGATGTATCGTTCCCGCCAGTCGCGACTCCCGGAGCTGTCGTCCAGGATAGGAGCAGTGCACCCGTCTCGGGTATGCAGGGTATAATAGAGGGCATCAGCAGTTAGGTTCCGGAACTGGTAGGACAGCAGCACCATGGAACTGCGGATACGAACCCTAATTAAGTCCGAGACGACTTGGTAGGCGTAGAGGAGTCTCCACGCAGAGAAATGAAATTGGCTGGGGTAGATGCCAACGAACCGGCAGAAGTCGACCACCATCCGAGGGAGACTACCCCAGAAGCCGTACAGGAATTAGTCATCGTGGATCGCGATGCAGCGTCGTGGAGGTCGGTCTGCCTGGTCCCATTCAACGGGGAAAGTGGCGTTGAGCCGGAAGAATAGGGAAGGTTGGCCGACAGGACTCTCTACAGCGTGTCCGGCGTGCAAGTAAAAGGAGGACGGTCCGCAGTGTTATATGCTGAGGGTGCCCCGGCGATCTCCTTGACCTCGCCCCCAGCCCACGAGAAATCAGCGGGGACAGGTTCCGAGGAAATCCTGGCGGTATTCTGAACTTCACCGCCGGTCCAGGAATAGCGAGCACGTCACTCGCCAGACGATGAATTTGAAGCCGGCATCGCAACTGAACGAGAAGTGAAATGTGTGGAAGGAAAAAGAAAGGAGTAGTTCGAGAAAAGAAAAGTTCTAGGGTTTTCTCCGAAAATGGAATGAAATCTGCGGAACTGCGAGTTTCCTGATTTTATAGAAGAATAAGAAATTGAAGAGGCAGGAGAGAGGAATCGCATCGATCGGGAAAAGCCAATAGTCAATGGAAAACTAATAATTATCAGTTTCTCAAGCCGTGCGAGGGAAATGATGCGCGTTTAATGCGAAGAGAGAGAAGGGGTCCACCACAGCAGAAAAGACGACTGATGGCTCTCGAGGAAGCGGTGCACGCTGCGTAAAGTGACGCGCTATGATTCGAACCACCAAGGGCTTGCATGTGGACTGCACTCGCCGAACTCCAAAGATTTGCGTGGGAACGTTCGAAGGGAGACCACCGATCTTACCAAAGGTCTTCTGAAGGTCAATTAATGAATGATCGCGATGGTATGGATTTCGTGCCCCTACAGGATAACTGCAAGCGTGCCACCCGGGAGGAGTCGACTCCAGGAATGGGGTGCAAAACGGCTGCCCCCGTGGGTCGAACATAACCGTACGAGCAGCACGGGCCCTGCGATGGATTTTACGGTACCCATAACAGTGGTCGAAACATGACCGCCCCTAACACGGTCCCGACCGCTAAGATCCTTCTTGTTGTTAGTCAGATTCCTTACTTGCTCGATTGCCTGACTTCTTGCTTGTTTATTTGTTTGATTTTTTGCTTGTTTGATTACCTTACTTCTTGCTTGCTTGCTTGAGTGCCTGATTTTTTACTTGCTCGATTATTTGGTTTCCTGCCTGCGCACCAACCATATAATTCTCTTCCTCCATCGTGTCTATAATGTCTTTCGAATTCCCCTCTTCTTGGCACGCTCTCCCACGGACTTTCCGTCCTCAGGGGCACCATTCCTCTGGTAAATCAGGATCCTAGGACTCAGGCCTCTCAGACCTCCGGGTCTTCCCCACCAGTCCCCACCAAAGGTCCGAGCGACAAATCAGTGTGCTCCTCACTAGGAT